TTTTTAACTTTTCCTATTTTAACTTCTGGACCTACCTCCTTTTCTCCAGCATTCCACAAAGCCTTTTTTATATTCGACATTCCAGTAGAGACATAAAATCCTTCATCAGTCACAGTTGGCTTATTTTAACATATCTGTGAGCTTCTACGAACTTCGTGATAATAGCTACATCACAGGAAATGGACACTCAGAAACAGAATTTGAATCTTTCAGCTTCAAAACATAGGTGTAAACCAAGCTTTACATTAAAAAAGATTCTCCAGTCTCTATCAGCAGTAGAGTGTCGCTAACACAGCTGAGCTGTACTGAGTCCACTCAACAGAGAGCAACAATGCACATATATCGGTGTTCCACACCGTATTCAGAACCATGGCATAACATTTTTTTTTCTTGTGGTCCTCTTTAAATACAAGGGAATGAATTGTGTCCTGCTTTTCTTCCTTTTACATAGACCAGAAAACTAACACAAACTACACTCTCCTCTCTCCACATGGAGCTCAGCTGCCACATGAAAACATGCTAAGAAGCCTGAAGCTTGCTGGGGAGTTAAATTTGGGCATTTTGATCTGGTTGTACAGTTTCTTGTTTGGGGCAAGAAATGTTTGTTTGTTTATCTGACTGTTTACATGTAAAATAAGTATTGTATGGTACACAGTGGGCCTCCATGTAGAGTCTGAGCCAAATGCTGAGGAAGGATTGCGAAATCCTCAAAGAGTGGAAAATTACGGGAAGAAAAAAATCTGCAGGGCAGAGCTGTGTTTATAAATATGGACAATGAGCTTTGGGGGGAATAACTAAGGGGTACAGAGGTACAGCCTGGTTCTTCCAGTTAATGAAGACAAGCTGCCACCGGGCTAGGTCCTATGAGAAACGATCTCAGCGAAACTGGTTGCAAATGCTAAGGGAAGGACTTTGGGTAAGTTATCTTGCAGAAGACAGGGGAAACCTTGTTAGTTACATACTTTCTAGAAATGTTATGCTTTTGTTTTATATATAACTACCTGTGTCGATGTTCTAACTCGCTATCACTCAAGTCTCTGTTGAATAACAAGCTGGTTGTTTTCACTGTATATAAGATAAAAAACACAACGTTTGTGTGTGTTATGTGGCGATCGTGAGTTGAATCTTACAAGTTTGTGTGTACTGTGCCTTTGGCAATAGCAGATCTACGAGCACTGTGGGCATTCCACGGAAGAGGGGTGGATCCTGCAAAGATGAGAACTCAGGTGGGTGAGTGCCTATCGCTAACCCGCACAGAAGAAGCGCAGTCAAAGGAGACTTGGAAGGCAGTGTTTTCAGGGAAATGATCCACAGTAGGTACAGATGAGACTCTTTCACACTAAGGGCAGGCAGTGGGGAGGGGCCTTGTAGCCCTGGGGAAGTATCACAACCCTCCTGGTTTGATAACTAGCCATTGATAACTACTTGGAGTGTGGCCTTTTAGTCACTTAACCTTGTAGTGATTTCATCTAGCCCACATTTCCCTAGTTTGCTCAGAAGAATGTTACGTGGGACTATGTCACAAAACCTTGTGAACGTCCAGCTATATCCCGGCTACTGCTTCTCCCATCCACCAGGCCAGTAAAACTGCCAAAGAAAAAATTGGGTTGATTTGGCATGATTTGTTCATGACAAATCCATGCTGGCTTTTATAGACCTATTTATCCTCTAGGTGCTTACAAACTGTTTAATAACTTTTCCAATATCTTCCAGGTTGACTAGTCTATATATGACCTTCTTAAAGACAGGTATGATGCCTGCTCTTCTCCAGTCCTCTGGGGCCTCCCCTGTCCTCCATTTGTTCTCAAAAATAACTGCTAATGGTTCCAAGATGGTTTCAGCTAATTCCTTAAGTACCCTGGGGTGAAGTTCTACAGGTCCTGCCAACTGGAATACATATCCTAATTAC